CACTAAATCCTACGCACTGGTCCTTTATATTCTGCTATATATGTGAGAACAACATTTAAATTGATTAAAATTAATTAATTAATTAATTAATTAATACACATAATAATAATTATCCAAAATGATTCTTATCCAAATCTGATTTTTTTATGCAATCAAAAACATCCCAAAAATACAACACTTTTGCAAAATGGTAGTCTCATCCTAAATGAGGCTGACTTGTGTAGAATTTTTCAAATGGCAGTGATATAGACAAAGAAGTAGACATGCTATAGCTATGCAGCAATTACAAAGATAATGTCCTCATGAAAAAAATCCCTGTTGCACACGTGGCTTATAGGCAGACAGAAGCACAGCCAAAGCAAACCATTTCTGCATGCATGCAAGAAGTTAGTATGCATTGTATTTCTGTCCTCCAAAAGAGATGACAGAAAGTTATTAAAAGAGGAAGAGCAATGGACAACAAAAGGAGGAGAGAGAAAGAAAAGGGGAGGAAAGCACTTACCCTTTAATCCGGCTACAAGATAGCAGGGTCAGGGTTTAGTAGAAGAAGGAAGACAGAAGAAAAGGAAGAAGGAACAAACAGAGAAACATAAAGACACACAGCAAAGCCACCAGCACTTTAACACTACAGCAGTCCTACAACAAAGAGCGAAGCAGCACACAGAGAAAGAATACCAGTAACAGTTGAAAACATGTAGAGTACATGACCAGCAAGAAGACAAAGTTAGGACATCATTGATACAGTATGTCAAACATGTGGCAAGGACAACTGTACAGTAAGAGACAGTGAGACACTGAGCACAACAAGGAAGAACAAGAAGCTGTGAGCTATAAAAAGAAGTGCTGAAACGGCTTTATATTCTAGATTTGTTCATGGATTGCTGTCATTATCTACAGTATATATACACTGAGGCAGCCAAAGTAGCTACTTTTAGACAATTATTCAATTATATTTAATTATTATGACTTTTATTGTATACCCCTTGGAAAAAATACCAATGACCTCAGTTGTGGTTACGGCCATGCTCACCAGCCATAGTGGTGGTGGTGCTCAATGAGAAGTATGTGGACAACAAAAGTAACAGCCCATTTCAGGCACTGCTAGTAAATTTATTTTTTTTTACATTTTAAAGCCTGTGAACACCCACACTGGTGTTTTCAGTTATTCTTGCTGTTTTGAAGTTGGGCTGGAGCTTTGATGGGAATTTATTACATCACAAACTCAATCTTCAATAAAAATGAAGGTGTAATTTGTCCCGACCTAATAGATTCAACGAAGCAGGAGATGCAGGAAGATGTCAATCAAATGACACACATTTGCTGACCTCATGAATCTCATCAATAGTGGTATTTTATGTGACCTGTAGTTAGCTGTAAGCTTTAGTTAATGTTTATCATTAAATAATTAGCTACTTAGATTATTTTTGCAGTTAGCTAACATAACACTTGCTAGCTACCATAACCAGATGTCAGGCCTACATTAAACTCAAATGAATTGCAGTTATTGGCATTCAAGTTTATCTTCAGTTATTTTTTTCAGATTTTTTGATAAAGTGAGCAATTCATAGATGCCACCTACGTCACTATCAAATAGAACGCCGCCATATTGACGACCGATCTCGCCCAGTACGGCCGCCCACACTGCCCGTTTGAATGAGAGAGAGAGAGAGAGAGAGAGAGAGAGAGAGAGAGAGAGAGAGAGAGATATCTGGAGAAAATTTCAATTTTAGGCTCCGATCCTTATTTGTTACCCCCAGTTTTCTTTTGTCCCTTATTATCTGCCCCAGGCTTGCCCCAATTGGCTTTCCATGATATATACATTTATCTTGTGCATAACCCCCCCCCCGTACAGTGGGGATAGCTTGAAGGCCTTCAAGAGTACCGATGCTTATCAGTATGCTGTGGCTGGATGGGTGAAAGACGTTAAAGTGCTGCACCTGGCCACCAAGGATTTATATTTAATCATGGGAAAAACTTATTATATAAAAAAAATTAAACTGTATTTTGGTGGTAGTTTACTCTGACTAGGTAGCGAGTTGTTAGCTAAGCAGTGTTGGGCATCTTACTTAAAGAAAAGTAATTAGTTATAGTTATATACTTGAGGCAGACATGGATAAAGTATTTTTTCCTGGGCACAGTGCCTGTTACATGAACATTCTTGCCTTTATAATCAGTAAGCGAGAAGTAGTGTCGGTATTCCAGTTTGAAAACGCTACCTTTGAATTTCGCTGGCTCGCTCGTCGCCATTGTCTGTCTTGTGTTTATAGTTGTAGTTACCGTGCAGTGAGACAGCGCGCAGTGAGACAGCGTGCAGTGAGACAGCGTGAGCAGGGCATCCTCCCACCCAGCCAATCATCCTCCCACCCTGCCCTCTCCCGGCAGCTGATGTGTGTCTGTCAGAAAGCCTGATACCGCCGCGCTTCATTCAACCACACTGTAGGAACGCAAGTAACGCGCCACTTTACATTCTCAGTAACGGTAACGGCGTTGCAACGATGGGAGAAGTAATTAATTAGATTACTCCGTTACGTTAGTAACGCCGTTATACTTAAACGCCGTTACTCCCAATTCTAGCTAAGTGGCTAACAGCTAGCAAGCTACCACTCATCTTAGTGTCACTTAGCTCACAGCTAGCTGTCATTAATCTGGATAATGTTCTTTAATGTCAGATGTGATTATACCGATTTATACAGTCCATGGTTTATACTGATTGAAAGAACATGAGGGGAAGGGAAACAAGCGATTGTGACTGTATGGGAACAGTTTGTGGTGGATTACTCTGATCATTGTTGATGTCAGTGCTGCTAGTGAGCACTTCAGCTTTCTGCTAGAGCAGCGGTTCCCAAACTTTTTTTCCCACACATGCTACATGATAACAAATAACAAATCAAAATGTGCAACTGGTCTTTGAGCTCTCACACAAAAAAAAAAGTGTGGAGAACAATACTGTCTATGGCGCGATCGGCCCGAGTCGGTCGTAAAGATGGCGGCACAAAGCTACAGTGACAACATGTGAATCGAATGAATACTTAGTTACGATTGTGTTAAAAAATGGTCATAGGTAAAGAAGAGTGCGGAATTCTTTTGATTTCAACCACAATGCGTGTGTTCGTTTTTTGTTACCTATTGGCATTGTGGTCAGTAACTCATTACTAGTAATAATATTACAGTATCATACTAGTTCTTTCTTTCATTTTAACAAATAAAACTGGATTTTAATCTTCGTAAGTCTGAATTTTAGGGAGGTTTACAATTACCAATTTCGTGGGGAGTAGCAGAAAAGTAATATAACTAGTAGAGTAACTAATTACTGTTGGCAAGGAATAATAAAGTAAAATAATGGCAATACTTTTGAAAATAGTAACAAGTAATAAGTAATAAAGGACATTTGAATAACTAGCCCAACTGGCAACCTTTTCTGATATAAACACTGACTTGTCGGGACCAATAATCCTCATGAGGACCAGGAGCGTTTCCAGACTTTATTGACTGGGTTGGCACAAGCGGGACACTAACTTATGCAGGGGTGGCATGCAGTATGTGTCTCAGCTTTCCAGTCATTCCCAATTTATTTAGTATAAATACTGTTTATAGACCCCATTATGCAGAGATATTAAACCAGCATGAATTTGTTTGGAACTGTGGGGAGCTACATGAACCATGTGACCATGTGGCGGTGAGGTCAAAGTACATCGCAAATAAGCAGACCTCCAGGACTGCCTTCTTTCATCTACGTAATATTACAAAAATTAGACACATCGTGTCACAGACAGATGCAGAAAAAGTAATCCATGCATTTGTTACTTCTAGGCTGGATTACTGCAGTTCCTTATTATCAGGCTGCCCCAATAAGTCCATTCAGTCGAATCAATTCAGAACACTGCAGCACGAGTACTGACAGGAACTAGGAGAAGAGATCACATCTCTCCTGTACTAGCTTCTCTGCACTGGCTCCCTGTAAAATGTAGAATAGAATTTAAAATCCTCCTCCTCACCTATAAAGCTCTTCATGGTCAGGCCCCTTCATATCTTATAGAGCTCATAGTACCCTATTACCCCACTAGAACACTACGTTCTCTGAATGCTGGGCTACTTGTGGTTACTATAGTCTCTAAAAGTAGAACAGGAGCCAGAGCCTTCAGTTACCAAGCTCCTCTCCTGTGGAACCAGCTTCCAGTTGTGGTTCAGGAGGCAGACACCCTCACCACATTCAAGAGTAGGCTTAAGACATTCCTCTTTGATAAAGCTTATAGTTAGGGCTGGATCAGGTGAGTCCTGAACCATCCCTTAGTTATGCTGCTATAGGCCTAGACTATCGGGGGATTTCCCATGGTGCACTGAGCTCCTCTCTTCCTCTCTCTTTCTGCACTCATTCATGTTCCATTAATGCATGTTACTAACTCCACTTCTTCCCCGGAGTTCTTGCGCTTTCTCGTCTCACAGGTTCTCATGGATCCTGGTGGAGCCTCCTGCCATGGTCCTGCTTGACTGTAGTTGTTGCTACTGTTGTTGCTGTGCACTCTGTCTGTCTGTCTGTCTGTCTCTGTCTCTCTCTCTCTCTCTCACCCCAACTGGTCGAGACAGACGACCACCCACCTAGAGCCGAAGGATCTGTCCTAGGTTTCTGCCTTTTAAAAGGAAGCTTTTCCTTGTCCTTGTCACCAAGGTCTTGCTCATGGTGGGACTGTTGGGTCTCTGTAATTAATGTTTTAAAGAGTTCGGTCTGGACCTGCTCTATTTGAAAAGTGTCCTGAGATAACTTCTGTTATGAATTGGCGCTATACAAATAATAAAAATTGAATTGAATTGAACTATCTTATTCATAGCTTCGTCATTTCAAGGTGTCTTGGGCTGCATAGTTGTGGCCTGGGGCCTTTACATTAGCTGCTGAAAATGTAACAATTATATAAATGCATGTTCAAATATTCTTTGATGTATAAATATTCTATAAGCATTTGAGAGTTAAACAACAAATGAGGATCTGAGAGTTGAAAACTTACAGAACTGTGATATGGGTGCATCGAGCTGTGGCGCCGTGCCCCCCCTCGAGTTGAGTTTCTGGACTTGAGTGGGAGGAACTGGCTTGTGTGACTGGCCGGTAGCTCGGTACATGGCCTGTACCCACAGGATCCGGTCCTGCTCATCATCGCTGGCAAAGATCACAGTATCGCCCTCCTTCACAGCGTTAAAGAACGTCCGACCGCCGTCCAGACCTGAGAGAGGGGCAGAAGAAGAACACGTTCTACGATTTATTTTATTTTACACGATTTATGTGTTAACAGGATCTAACGTTTGTATAGGTACACAACATAGACGACAAGTGTGTGCAGGGGCTTTAAGAGCAAATATGCATTTCAAATTGTGACGCTTGTCCTTCCTCAGCTTAGCTTGTTGCCATGCAGTGCACAGCTGTGAGGCACGGCTGCTGTTACCTGGCTGCGGGTCAGTGTAGTCCACAGTGTAGCCGTCCAGCTGGAGGAGCTCCACAGGCTCTGCCTTTTTCTCTCTGTAGCTGCACATGGCAAAGGTGTACTGACTCACCTGCACCAATGACAGAGAGGTGAAATGGTCACTCATCAGCCAGCTCAGAAGGGAATACTACATTAATTACTGTGTGCTTTCATACGCTGGGAAGTCCACCGTTAACTACACCACCAATTCCTCAATGCTGAATGTTTGTCTGAATTCCCTCAGTATCCTTTTTTTTTGGGGCTTTTTTATGTATTTTTCTGCTTGACAGCATATCTAATCTAAAACCTTTATTGGTTAGTATTAAATATGATGAATGGTAAATGGACCTGTACTTGTATAGCGCCTTTCTACTCTTCCGTGTAGTGCTTTTACACTACATACCACATTCACCCTTTCACACACATTCACACAGTGAAATTATACATTACTTTGTTTTGATATCATCATTATATTTCGTCCGCCAAATATTGGTATTGGCATTGACCATTGAGAAACCCATATCAGTCAACCACCAGAATCTACTACATATTACATCAATTAGAAACAAGCAAACAAAAACAAATATTACCACATGATGATATAATGCCATGTGCCAGTGACAGACAAAAGTGGAGGGTGGCAATGCATTTAGAGTTATTCACTTTCACACACAATTATGAAAAATATAAATTGATTTATGCAGATTGCATCTAAAATATGAAACTCCATAGCCAGTATATGGTTTGTCCGTTCTGGGCTACTGTAGAAACATGGTGGTTCAACATGTCAGTTTCCATGGAAGGCGACCTGCAGCATCTTTAGATAAAAATGTCTCATTCTTGTTCTTATTTTAAGGTGATTATACACTAATGAATATTATTCAGTTCCTGCCAATAGATCCTCCTAAATGCAATCAATAACAGCAAATCAATAAACCAAATCTTCTGAAAACAAAAGAAAAAGTCAGGTACCTGCAGCAGTCATAGTCCAGTAATAAGGTCCACCTACATGCATACCTCCACAAATATCAGATAGAGGCATACTATGCATACAGCACTCAGATGCTTATTATGCACATTCAACCTCCCTCCATGGGGCAGAAACAACATGGCAGGACTTGATTCCAAAACAGGCATATCTCAAATCTTCAGCATAACTTCATCTAAGCACTTTGAAATGTTGAAATTATATAAAATTACATTTCATGTTGGGATTTATCGTAAACATTTTTCAACATGTTGAGGACGGTAAAAAAACATTTACTTCACTTGTCTTTGTTTGACACACAGCCATAACATCAGCACGCTAACACGCTCACAATGACAGTGCTAAAGTGCTGATGTTTAACACAAACTGCAGCCGAGGCTGATGGGAGTTTCATGACTTTCAAGATTTGGCCACTCAGGACAACCTCGATGTTCCTAAGAAGAAGACAACAATCCCTTCAAACTGAGAAGTATCAGCCAAGTAGAAAACAAACAGAAGCTTGCACAGTATAGGAGAGAGAGGGGCGAGAGACATCTGTGTTACTTAATGGACTAATTGTGTGTGCATGTGTGATGTGATAATCACATTACAATAAAGTGAAGTGGCTGAATTAGAAGGTTAAGTTGAAGGGGTGTTGCTGAATGTAGCATGGATAATGGAAGTAAATAAGTGTGTTCATGACCAGCAATAATGAGTAGTGTGTGTGTGTGTGTGTGTGTGTGTGTGTGTGTGTGTGTGTGTGTGTGTGTGTGTGTGTGCATGAGAATATACAGCCAACCTTTTTATATACAAATGCAAATGTGTATTCTAATCAAAATGAAAGAACCGCTTGACACCCTGCTGTGAATGAGCCACAGAGGCTTATTCCATTCTCATGTCATATGGAATAAATGGTTCAGATCAGAGAGATTCTATTTTTTGCTTCATCAGAGACAATTGCAGTTCAATTCAATTCAATTCAATTCAATTTTATTTGTACAGTGCCAATTCATAACAGGAGTTATCTCAGGACACTTTTCAAATAGAGCAGGTTGAGACCGAACTCCTTATAACATTATATAGACAGAGAGAGAGAGAGAGAGAGAGAGAGAGAGAGAGAGACAGACAGACAGACAGACAGACAGACAGACAGACAGACAGACAGATAGAGGTGCACAGCAACAACAGTAGCAACAACTACACTAATAGTAGTGACTGATGATGATGAACATGAAGAAGATGATGACAACAATGACAACAACGATGGGACCAAAGTGTGAACATTTAACCATGCAAGCTTTATTTTGAAACTCTCCAGTTGAATATTGCATGTTACTGCTAACTTTAACCAAAATAGCTATAGCTTTAATTGGAATTCACAGTATCAACTCCTCCTCACCTACAAAGCTCTTCATGGTCAGGCCCCTTCATATCTTAAAGAGCTCATAGTACCCTATTACCCCTCTCGAACACTACGTTCTCTAATGTGGGTCTTTGGTTCCTTATTCTAAAAAAAAAAAAAGGAGCACCTCCTTTCCCACCCCCCCCCCCTTTGAACCCTTCCCTTTTTTTTGGGGGGAGACACCCCACCCAAAAAAAGTAAAAAACTTTTAAAAAAAATATTTTTGGTTGGGAGGGGAAAACCTTTTTTTTTTTATTTTAGTTTTTGGGGGTTTTTTTTTTCTTTCTCCCACCCCCCCTCCCCCCCTCTCTCTCTTTTTCCCCCCCTTCCTCCCCCCCTTTAAATTTTTTCCAACCCCCCTTCCGTTTTTTTTTTTTTTTCTCCCCCTTCTCTTCGTTTCTCTTGGGCCCCCCCCCCCCCCCTTTTTCTTTATATTAATATTATTATTATTATTATTTTTTTTATAAAATTATTAATTAAAAAAAAAATAAAAATTATTATAATAACTCCTTATCCTCCCCCCCCTTTTTTTTTTTTTCTCCTAAATTTCTCTTTTTTTTTATTATAAAAAAAAAAAAAAAATACAATTAATAAAAAAAATAAAGAAGCAAAAAAAATTAAGCAAACAAAATATTAAAATCCATAATCACTAACCAAGCGCACCCTTCTAATCTGGCGGTCTATTTAAGCTGCAAAATTTCCCAGCTCTCCCTCTGCTTTGTCAATGCTGCTGTTGCCTTGCAAGCTATTGCTGCCTGCTGCACTGTAAGCCCCACCACCACCCCAGCATCCACCTGTAGGCTCCGGCTAGGGGTTAAGGTATTTGCGCATCACTCCCCAATATCTCTATGTAGACATAAACATGTTATACTGCTTTAATAAACATTTCAAACGTGAGTTGTCTGACTGAAATGTAGTTGTTGCTACTGTTGTTGCTGTGCACCTTTGTCTCTCTTCCTCTCTCTCTCTCTCTCTCTCTCTCTCTCTCTCTCTCTCTCTCACCGAACTGGTCGAGGCAGACGACCACCCACCTAGAGCCGGAGGATCTGTCCTAGGTTTCTGCCTTTTAACAGGAAGTTTTTCCTTGCCCTTGTCGCCAAGGTCTTGCTCATGGTGGTACTGTTGGGTCTCTGTAAATAATGTTATAAAGAGTTCGGTCTAGACCTGCTCTATTTGAAAAGTGTCCTGAGATAACTTCTGATGATTTGGCGCTATACAAATAAAATTGAATAAGAAAGAATGCAGGTTGAAGTTACTTCACTGACCCAGAGGCTGTCTAAAGCACAGTAAGTTGTTGGTTCCAATCCGACACTCTTGTGTGGTTGTACTGTAACCTCCACTGGATGCTAGCAGTAAAAGCTAGCAATAAAAGGCCAGTACTGACCCATATATCAGTGTAACCCTGGTTTAGTTTAGTGGTTGTGGTCGTGTCACTGCTCCCTGTGCTGGTAACAGGAAGTGTAGTGATTCTCTGCTGCTACTGTAGCTGCCAGTCATACCAGCCTGTCGTCACAAATAACCAGGCCCGGCCAATCCACTGCTGTCGCCACCTCTGCTGCTGCAAGTGGCAGCTCTCACTCTAGCTGCAGCTGCATTCTCTGTGTGTGTGTGTGTGTGTGTGTGTGTGTGTGTGTGTGTGTGTGTGTGTGACAAATGAGATTCCCCACGACAACACTGATGAGACCTGAGGCCAAGTAAAGGATGGAGGGAACCGGACGGACTCTCCAGCAGTTCCCTGGCCTCCAGGACACCACAACGGCAAATCAGAGTCTAAACTACCAACCCATCCACCCCACCCCCTCCCATCCATACCCCAAAACGCCAGCTTACTCTCTCTCTCTCTGAGCTGTCAGTCAGCAGAGAGGAGGGAGAGACAGTGATGAGGCATGAGATTGGAGGATAGAGTGGAGGGGAATGCTGCAGTCATTTATAGTCACATCATTACAGGAAACACATGGACATTAATACTGGAGATGATTTGCTGGATGTGGCATGTGTGTTCACAAACAAACTTCAGAAGCCAAAAGCAAAAATTTCAATCCAAACCATGACTTGGGGTTTTTATTAGAACCATTAAGAACCAACATATATATACATATACTGCTATTTTTCTTTTGAACATTATGTAATATTTCTTATATTAAAGGCCCACATTTGAGTTAACCTTTGCATTTTGCCACCAGGGACACACACAGGGACACACACTGGAAAAAGAGTTGGTGCCGACTTACGATCTGCAGTGATATAGTTTTGGTGTCTGTTCCATTTTTTCCTGCCTGTTTGTTTGCAGTGCGTTGGGAGAAATGTATAGTAATTACAGGACTTCTATGCAGGTTCAAAAAAAATTTTAGTTTACAAAATGTCATAGTTTGATCCTTTCATAGCTTGAAAGTCGATATTTGCTACATGGATTTCCCCTGCCTGCTATTGATAATGCATTAATCGGTTGAAGAGTAACTAATTCTCTGATCTTTGTTCCAGTGTGTAACATTGGCAGAAATGGAATATAATATTGATAGGTATGTTTTCAATAGTGTATAATCATCTAAATTCGGGAATTGTTTGTCTTACAAGGAGCCGTATTTATGTACAGATGCTGTGGGTTGCCTTCCATGTTTCTAGGCATTTGTTTCCTGTGTTTCCCGCTCATTGTAGGGTGGGAGGGTGAAGCGAAGGAGTTGCAGCTACATTGCTGGATGCCTCTAAATTCTACACACTCAACTTTTAGCATCAGTAGTTAAAAAGTAACTAATACTTTGAGTAGTTTTTGAGAAAATATGTTGTACTTTTACACCAGTTGCTTGTAGCTGAGTAATATTTCAGTAATGTAACACTACTTAAGTATAGATTTTCAGTACTCTTTCCACTACTAAACTGGAAATTAAATTGAATTAAACTGAATTGAAGTGAGTTTAAATTAAATTAACTGAACTGAACTGAAATCAAGTTTGCTGGAATCAAACTGAATTGAACTTAATAAATGCAATTCAAATGCATTGAATCAAAGGTAACTGAAATACAATGAATTAACATAAGTACAGGGAACTTAGCTGAATTTAAGTTAATTCAAATGAATTGATGTAAATCAAATTAAAGTGCACTGAACTGAACTGAACTGAATTGAAGAAAACTGAAGTAAATCAAAAGACAGATGTGGACATATGTGCAATTAAATTAGGTCCACCATGAACATGCAGAGTTTAGTTGATCTGTAATCTGCCTGGGAGTCTCAAAGGAGGGGTGACTCAGACCACAACCACTGTGCTGATTATGAACTGATGGAGATGGGGGGATGAGGAGGTGATTTAAGGACAGAGGAAGAGTGGAGCATGAAAAAGGAAGAGATGACATGCAAGTGATAAACAACAGGAAGAAGAGAGAGAGGAGGAGGATGGGGAATGAGGTGGAAGTAGAAGATGTGGAGGGAAAGAGAGAAATGGAGGAGGGGGGGTGAGGAAGTTGATAAACAGTGGGAAAAAGAAGTGAGGAGAAAGTGTCATCCTATTTCAGCTCCTAATTCAGTCCAAAATATGTTGTTTGCACTAAGATTTTAAAGCTAAAAACATTTTGCACATTCACTTCTAGCATGATGCTGCTGTATATTATGCTAGGCTATAGGCTTTTTCTGTATGTAGGCCTTTTTTACACAGCGCCCTCCACCTGAGGCTACACAAATAACTCTATTAAATGAACTCATTGTACCTATGTTTCAGCCACACTTTAAATTGCAAATGTGAGGCATGCTCTTTAATATTCAGGGCTATCAAGAACCAGAGATGTGGTAACAAATTGTAAAATATGTATTAGATGGCTAAATGTTCAAATTGGAAAACATATTTAAAAATAGAAGTAGTAATAGAAAAGTAGTATAAATATATATTTGTACATTTTATTAGACAGTCAATCCTCATAAGTTAATTTAACTTAAAAATTGTTAGTTAGTGTTACTTAAAATTTTCTATGTTATCAGTTCAATCGGTATATTTTGGATTATGGCCATGACTTTAAAGCACTACAGATACTAGAGCACTGCCTGTAACGATTCCTTACTTACCTGATATACAAAAACTGTTGAGCCAGATGTCTTTACCAAAACGTTTTGAGGAAAGTAACATGTCAGCTGTGATAAGTGACTATAAAGGTGTTTCATTTTCCTCTCCATACTAGTATTTCTATTGTAACAGACGGGGTACAAAATGCACTGTTCTGTACAAAAATTGTTCAACTCAGGAATGCACTTTTGTACATGTTGTGGATTTTGGCCCTCAACTCTTAGATTCGAATTGCACACAATGTGATTACTTCATTTCTTTAGTGTACTTAATGGCATGTAAGACCTGTATTGAAGCTACATCTCCACATTAAAATATCTATAAACTCTAGCTCAATGTTCTATTTGTAGCTGAGTTGTTAATTTTATTCAGGTAACGCTGCGTTTCACTGGTCGCCTCTCAATGGCGTCATATCCCCTTTGTGTCTGCATCAGCGTTGTGGTTGTCTGCCAGAAGCTGTCATACATTGACTGTTGATCCAGTCTGAAGCCACATTGTTACCATCCACTGTTTAGATCTTGGTGCTTTTTAACTCTAGATTTGAACCGGATGAAGGATTTTAGTCATCGGACATCTGTATGTTAAGTTATCAGAGAAACAAGCTGAGTTAACGTTAGCAGCCGCTCGGCTCGCAGCCCCTCGTGGACGTCCTTTGTCTGTCCAACAGTGTGGGAGAAGCAGTGATTTTTAAGGTGGAACTGCTTTATTCAGTGTGTTTAGTGGTTTTAATCAGCGGGTCTGTTTGTTTCGGAGAAGAGGAGACCTCTGTGGATCATTGGGCTCCCGGTAGAAATGAGAATGATTAATCGCGATACTTTGCAACGTCATCAAATCGTTTTGATGTGAGACCCTGGTTAAAATATGAACCTGCAACTGCTCTCTTTAACAACTGAAATACTCAGAATTTTAGTTTTAAAATTTTAATATGATGCTATTATATCATATTTTGCAACCGAAAGGATGAACCAGACTCAATGAATATTTTAAACAGGTCCAAATTGAACTACGTAATGGCAAAGACAGAAATGGGTACAAAAAAATGCCAACAGTCAGGATTTGCTTCCTTTGCATGAGCAAAAAATGCAACATCTCTAAAACAGCAACAAAAAGTACATGTGCACTCAAACACACACAGCAATAACCATAGTGTCTGTGCTCCTAAAGACAAACATCCATGCACATCAACAGACAGACATAAAAACAAACACACACACACACACACACACACACACACACACACACACACACACACGAGTGCGCAGTCTATTGACCAGTGTTTGTCACTTGCTATATATTTAGCTGGAAGCAAGTGAGAGGCTTCAAGTTGGCGGCGCTCAGGCTTTTCTAGCTGCAAGTGTTAGGCCAGCTAGTGTTCACTCCACTTTGTCAATCCCCTGTCAACTTGTAGCTCTGAGACATATCCTCTGCAACGCACAAGAGACAAGCTGCCCCCCCCACCACCACCACCGCCGCCTTCCACCCTCCACCCCTCCTGCTGCCCACCTCCCAATGCAGAGCCACCAGGAAATGGCCGCTACAACCCTCCTCACACACACACACACATACACACACCACACACACCCCCGCCACCCCATCTCCTGACAAAAGCCTGCTTGGCCTCTCCATCATTCCTCTGACAGCCGAGGGAAGACAGCTTGGCTGCATCTCTCTTTCTGGCTGCACACACAACATGTGGCCGGGGAAAATATTATAGCCATAAAGCAGAGCTGCTGTGGAAGGCTGCTAACGGTTTGGTTCTCAGGTGTGATCAGATCAGATCCGGAGCCCATCGTGCACTCACTTCAGTTTGATCATGGGGTTTTTGAAAGTATGTTGACACCAAAGACGGCAAGCTCCAAACTGATGATTAATGCAAGCAGTTCATCACTGATGTACATTCTCCAGTCTTTAATGATCAAGATATAAAACCTGTACAGTCATAGATATGTCTCTTCTGTAGTTCTAAACGAAAGCAATGGCCAATTTAACAGACTTGATTGAACCTCTGTACTTGGTTCTCTTACTATATGTACTTGGCCATACAAGCATACATACATTGTCACTCTGGCTTCACTTGGTTGACCTTTAATGTTGCTATGGAAGATATACCTTTTCTGTAGAGAAAGGTTCTCTATCATCTGAAACAACTTCAACACATCAGGGATTATTATTATTATTATTATTATTATTATTATTATTATTATCATTATGAACCAGCAGTCCAAAACCCAAATATATTCAATATATTTTCACAGACACAAAAAAAGCAGCACATTCTGGCAGCTGGAACCAGAGGATTTATGTGTTTTTGCTTGAAAAAAATGATTTTAATGATTAATTTACAATTAAAATTGTAGCATATACATTTTTCTGTTTATCATCTCTGCAAAATGTATATCTGAGTTAACAAAGGCAGAGGATGAGAGCTATGGCAGCTTGTATTTGGGTCAAGTATGGTTGTTAAGTATGCTCAGAAACCAACGATACATTTTAAACTATTTCTTTTATCTTCATAAAAATGATATCAAACAAATGTCAAACTATCTCCACCATATATCTGTAGATCCTCAGACACTGACTTCATAAAAGTTCATAAAAGTTCATAAAAATATATTTCCTTTCATGAAAGTGGCAACCTAAAGACGTCAGTGATTGACACCGCTCATATAAACACCTAACCCACTGTTGTTTTACAGTACACTGATTGACTTTTATTTTGTAGGAACCAAACAAAACCCAGTGATATAGACTGCATTATCAATTAAATTTTCAATTCAATTCAATTCAATTTTATTTGTATAGCGCCAATTCATACAGAAGTTATCTCAGGACACTTTTCAAATAGAGCAGGTCTAGACCGAACTCTTTATAACATTATTTACAGAGACCCAACAGTACCACCATGAGCAAGCACTTGGAGACAAGGGCAAGGAAAAACTGCCTGTTAAACCTAGGACAGATCCTTCGGCTCTAGGTGGGTGGTCGTCTGTCTCGACCAGTTGTGGTGAGAGAGAGAGAGAGGGAGAGAGAGAGAGAGAGAGAGAGAGAGAGAGAGAGAGAGAGAGAGAGAGAGACAGAGAGAGAGACAGACAAACAGGTATACAGCAACAACAGTATTGGCAATGGCAATCTATCAAATTATCAGTGCTTACCTGAACCAGCACAAAGAATCTTTTCTTCCATCTTTTCCACACGTTTTTGCCGATGGCCCAAAGGTACCTGTTAGAGTAAAAAAAAACACTGATTGAGCCAAAAACACTTCACATTGTTTTTTACAACTTCTCATTGTGCAGCTGTTGCAAAGTGAAGGCAAAGTTTCATCTTCTTTCTGCACTGCACTGATATGCACCAGGCTGTATCTACAGGATGGATACACAGAGTGGTAGTGCAGTGCATCTACTAACCTCTCCTGGTTAAATGCCATAACTGCAACCAGACACATCACATTTTTTCAAAAACCCCAGAGACTCACATCTCATTGTTCTGTTCTTTATTTGGTGCTTTGAGTCTTAGTTTGTGCTTTTCATAGCAGAAAAATCTAAGTAACGTCACTAACAATGCCACTTCCCCATGTGGGTGTACCTGTAAAGCAGCTATGAGGCCATGTTCACAGTACCAGAGCCCTGGAACTGGAACATTTAAAAGGAATGCAGCCACCATTCACTCTGTCAGTAACACAAGTATAAGAGAGGTCAAAATGTCCGCTGTATAAGATATATATAACACGATTTTAGAAAAATACACATACTACATTTACATAACCCGGTGGAAGAGAAGGGGAGAGTGCACACAGTGCAGGACTGTCATACCACAGTCTGTGGTTCAAGTCCAGACTCCTGCAACAAAAGCACTCTGGTTAACGTTTGGAAAGATCGTGGTTTGGGTCAATTGTTATTAAAAAATCTTATGTCTCAAGTCAGTTGAATAATGGTGTAGTCACTACAAGCAGATAGTACTGCAAGATTGCCTATTTTGGTGCCCAATACGTGGTCAGTGAACATTTTACTGGTAGGTTCAGTATCAAATTTTTTTACAACTTTCCAGGTACGTTAATTAACAGCATTTCCCTATTATTAAAGAGACAACTTAATTCACTCTGCATTACCCTTATGTCTTTGCTGTTGTAAATCACTAAATTTAAACGTAATTCTTAGGAGGCAGGGCTGCACTGCTATATGAGGTCTTTTTTTTATTTGGTTCCAGTCAGAAATTATATGTCAGCTACACTGTAAAAAAAAAAAAGTATTGGGGGGTCTTTTTTCTGTATCTTTTAAATACATGGATATATTAATAAAATTACAAAAATAGCCTGCGGACACCTCTAATGCTAAATAATGTGAATCTGTAAACTGTAAATAATAATAAAATTACTGCTTATTTAAAGAATTTCTTCTTTTTTCACACAAAAAGATACAGTTGCAAATCTTTATTTTTTTGCAGATATTTAAGGTTTATTTAATAGATTAAATTGTTAATCTGTAACAAAAACATTAAATAAATTTTTTGTATCAATGTATAAGCATTGGTAAACTGTCAAAATACAGTTTTTATCAAAATTAAAATAATTACTATAATTTCACAGATAATTACACTAAAATTAAGATTAAAGTAAGAAAAAATAAATCACAACACTCTTCTGTAAATTTAAGCCTAATTATTTGTATTATAGCAGTGTCCACCTGTATTTGTAAGTAATTTCATAGTTTCTACATGTGTAATAATCTTTAATTAAACATTACACTATACAAGATTTTATGTAAAATTTTTGTTCTCATATGTGATCTGTTTATTTCATTACAGTGTGAACAGCACAAATCGCACTGAATTCGATTTTTTCAGTTCTGAAAACCACTTTCATATATGCACCTCAGTGTGAACAATGGTATCAGAATACAACAAATGAAACTGTACCAGAGTTACTATAGTTTTGTCTTTTTCATTAGTTATTTTTATTTTGTTTTAAACTTTTGTTTTCACTTTGGTTTAGTTTGTATTGTTTAAAAAAATGTTTTAGTTTAATTTGTATTAGTTTCAATGTTAATTTTAGTTTTTTATGATTATAAAATAATAATAATATTTGTGAGTGAGGAGAAGGACTTTAAATTGGTAACAGGATGGGTGAGCAGGTGAACTGCAAACCTCTGGATGTACTGTAGTTTGTTAAGGACTTTGGAGGATGTACCATACAAGATGCTGTTACAATAGTTGATTCTGGATGCAGCAGAAGAGGAGCAGAGGCGTGCAACGTTTTTCAGGTGGAAGAAGCAGTTCTTGTTTTATTAAGTTGACTTTATATCATTATAAAAATGTAAGCACCACTGTGCTATAATGATTAGGATTTTTCAATTTTTGTTTTTTTTTGTTATAAATTATACTGCATCCAACTAATTCTTAATAATCACATGTGTTTATAGTCACATAGAGTAGTTAACAACTTAATTACAACAGTAACAATTAAATTAGATGATCCCAAGAAAATGAATTGGCTACTATTGTGATAATCAATTAACTGTAAGTTGTTTTTATCTTACATCAGCTGTTTGGACAGGTAATGTCATCATTTGCTTTAGTGGAACTAACTGACCTGAGTAAATTCTACTTAAATGTAACATTTGTGTAAAAAAAAGATGCATTTAATTTAGTCTTACTTTCTTCAGATACATTTAAATAAGTTAAATATGTCTGGAGAAATTCTGCAATAAAATTACCTTTTTTCTTTTCAACTTACCTTAACAAATATTTGAGTTACTTGTACTCAAATCAAAACATTTTTAATGCTTAAATTGTTTGAGTTAAGAAACCTAAATAGTTTAAGGCAATTGACACAATGTGTCTTTTTGTTTGGAACATAATTAAGTTCTGAACAGTTAAGTAGAGTGGGTAAAGTAACAGAATAACATATACACACAGCATATATTTAGTATTATATTCTACAAATTTAAATGTGTATTCTACACAACATTCTACAACACAGCTTGTTGTGTTGAGTTTTCTGTGAGATTTGACTGAAAACATGACAGAAGGAGAAGGACTGGGAAAGGGCTTTTGTTGTAAAAGAACATCTTAGGGTGAGGACCCCAGTTTGATTTGCCTCTGCTGCTCCCAGCCAAGCTGTGGGGTCTCCCCGGTTAGCCCACCTCAGCCTGCTTCAGCGTGCCTTTCCCCCCGGTCCCTCCCAGAGCGGCTACTGCCTGTCGTCCTAAATAAACCGGCATCCATGAGGCGACACATGAGGGCCCTGCCTGTGTGCTGTGCATAGAGTGGGCTGTGGTACAAGGGAGGCATCTTACAGGGCAGCCCAGAAGCCTCCTCCAAGGCTCCCAAAAGAAAGAAGAAAGCATATGGAGGGGAGGGAGGGCGAAAGGCTGACAAGCAGCTCCTCATAGCTACAGATAGAAGAGCAATGCATTGAAGCAAAAAGTGTGCTTATAAAATGCTGTCACACTCAGATTGGCATTTGTTTTTCAGAGGAACCTGATCACAGATTATCCTCCTGTAATTTAACTTTGGACAGGAATTGTACAGCATTGAATTTGTCACTGTACTTTTCTTCCATGTGTTATAAAAAAAGTTGGTGATGAAAGCTGTATGTTGACATTTTAGCAACAATTATACACTGATAAAAAAACATTAATTCTCAATAAACAAACAAAACAAAAAAAAACTTCCATAATTATACAAGATATGTGTTTGTTTGTTTTTTACTGTTAATTGTCACGCGGCAGGAGCTCAGAGCACAGTATAGAGTGTGGACTGGTAGCTGGAGAGGTGCCAGTTCCACTTCCTGTGCAAGGCACCTAACCCCTAACCTCTCCCAGAGCGCCCATTATTCCACCATTTCTGCCCATCTATAAGCCCGGCATGTGCATGATTGTATTTCAAGCCAAGTCTGTGTGTGTGTGTGTGTGTGTGTGTGTGTGTGTGTGTGTGTGTGTGTGTGTGTGTGTGTGTGTGTGTGTGTGTGTGTAAAACACATAGTGAAAAAAATAATTTCCCCATTGGGGCTTAGTATATCTTCTTCTTCTTCTTCTAATTTTAGCAATGTATTAACAGTATTAAACTTGAATTTAACCGTTTAATCTATTAAATAAACAGTAAATATCTGCGAAGAAATGTGAAAAAAAGAAATTTTCTGTTTTTTTTATCTGACATGTAAGTTCACAGGCTATTTTTGTAATTTTATTAATATTTCCATGTATTTTAAAAAATACTGAAAAGAAATCTGTAAAATAAACAGAAAAATCTCGTACACTTACGAGGCCACCAAAGCACACATCATATACCCAGACAGAATCTGTGTCTCGAAGCTGTCCAGAGAGACAGTACATTTAACTGCTCTCACTAACAATACTAACGGCACCCCAGAGGACTTTGAGAGTACAAGACAGAAATTATGGCTTCAACTGACAGTTATTTATTTGATATGATTATTTATAGAGTAAACTGCTAATTATTTACTAGTTGAATTGATTCATTGTTTGGTCTATAAAATGTCAGAAAATAGTGACAAATGTCCATCCCAGTTTCTTAAAGTCCAAGGTGATGTCTTTAAATGTCTTGTTTTGTCAGCCCAAAGCCCAAAGGTTCACTTTAATGTGATATAAAACAGAGAAGAGCAAGAAATCTCCATATTTTAGAGGTTGAAAACAGCATTTTTGCATGAAAAAATTAACGATTATCAAAATAACTGGTGATTATTTTTCTGTCAATCAACAATTTTATCTTATGTATAATGTATTATCTGTATTTGGTTGAACAGAAATAAATGGAGGGCAGAGCCCCTGTAGCAGAGAGATGATGTAGCACCACAATGAGCCTGAAACTGAAAACTTGTCTGAGGCAGATATGACCATCCCATCATCTGGTTAGTGCACTTGTCCAGGGGTGCTGAAACGGTTAGGTAGCCTGAATGTTTATAGAAACACAGCAGCGGTTGTTTTAACCCTGAGTAATGTCTAAAGATGTCACACTGTAGGTCTGTCCCAACACCAGCACTGACATGTATGTCCATGTACCACCAGGTAGTAAGCAAGTAAATGGTAAATGGAGTGCACATATATACGTATAGTATAGCAGGCCTCAGCAAACGTCCCCGTAAGCTATTAAATTCAGTCAGCATGCACAATACCAGAACCTAAATGCATACCCTACTGTAAGTGGAATGCAGTCAGTAATGTTATCACATGTCAAAGTATCTACTGTGGAAAAGATCTGTTATATGAGGTCAACCACATGAACTAACAGACACAGCAGGTATATTGACTTGTCATAGCAGGCACAAAAACACAGCTGAGTACTTAATAATAAATAATGACTGCATCCCATTCAGCATGACCAGTTTTATTTGAACTCATGAATGATTATGTTCGACTCATGAAAAATACTGAGCATAAAAAACCATGCTTATGCATGTACTAAGAGACCCATTTTGTAACTTAGGCACCTATGATCTATAAATCTCAAATTCACCTAAAATTAAGTAACTGCGATTTCCCCCTTTACTCAGTAGTAGCCACGGACCAAAAAACACACGATAGACGGTGAATTAATAGTGTAATGAGTCTGTGTTAATTCAGCATGTCTGATCCACCAACCAGCTCGTATTTTAGTGGAAAATCTTGAAACTGTGTGCGGAAATAGGTTTTCTTTATGGATTATATTGATGCTGCATTGACAAGAAGACTGTGGCTATAAGACACACTTACAGACATGTAGGGAATTGTTCATAAGTCATATTTCTTAAAGGGAGACTGGTGTAATATTTTCCCTGGACAGCGCAGTTAGCTTTTCAAACTGCTACATAAACACTAAAGTATGATAAGGTTGACTGACGTTGACTACGGTTTGATTAATGGTTGAATAATGTGTGTGTATTGATTACTGATGGTGGATCAAAACTTATCTTGAGTCCATTTAATAAATTAGGTCCCTGGTGCATGATGGCTGACTGGGATGGATTTCTGGAAAACCTGAATGGAACAGAGCCTGCATTAATATTATTAGTTTCACCTGTGCTGTAGCTGCTTTGATTCTATTTCACCCTCACCACTATTACCTCAATATGTAAATCAGTTTCTCATCAACTGGGCTAAATGGCTTTATATTGGTCTGCTGTGGGTCTATCACTATAAACTGTTGCAGAGGTCCCATATTTTACTGCAGTGGGAAAGGTCTGTGTAGTAACAACGTATAACCACAAGAGGGAAGCAAAACATTATCTTTTGGGTAAAGCACCTCCAGTATAATGCACACAGATGATTGAAGGTAGCAGATAAGACACCACCTGCAGGCCTGTATCTGACATACACCATTCAGCCATAACATTGTGAGCACCTGGGCACCCTGGTGGTTATAATGTTCTGCAGCCCCATACCAACAAACTGTGATGCACTGTGTTCTGACACCTTTCTATCAGAACCAGCATTAACTGTTTCAGCAGTTTGAGCTAAAATAGCTCCACACATGTATCAATGAACCATGGCCCCCCCATGACCCTGTCTCTGGTTCACCGCTTTTCCTTTCTTGGAGCACTTTTGATGATTTGAGCTGCAGTTTTGGAGATGCTCTGACCCAGTCGTCTAGCCATCACAGCTCAAATCCTCACGCTGCCCATTTTTCCTGCTTCTAACATCTACTTTGAGGACAAAACGTTCACTTGCTGCCTGATATATCCCACTCACTGACAGGAGCCATGATAACCAGATAAACAGTGTTCATTGCTCACAATGTTATGGTTGATAAGTGTACTTAAGGAAGTTTTGGTCTGACCCTAACATTTTTGGATTTTCCACGCACAAGATTTTCCAAGAACACTAGTTTAAACCCGCTGGATGATAAGTGGGTTAAAATGGGGAGGTTGTTTTTTTCAATATCTTTATAATGAAAAGTTGTTATCGTTTCATATTCCAGGTATTCCTCAAAAAACATGTTATTGATATAATGCCATTTACATTTTTAACTTACCTTTTATACATTTTTCGAAATTGTACTTTTTGTATTACTACTCCAAACTTCCATAAGTGGGTCAAAAATGATCCGCATTCATTTCTTATGGGACTTCATGGGAATCTTTGATTCTTATCAACTGTGACTGTCAGGAGTATGTATTCTGTGGACCACACAGACTATATCATAAGTGTCACCCCTTAGGAAGATTATTTTACACAGCAAGATCTGATACATGTAAGTATTGTCTTCTTTTTTACCTCAGAAATGTGTGTGCGTGTCATTCATGACTACTGTGTGAAAGAGTGTGTGTTATTATCATCTATCAACAAGTTAGCCTACTTTAAAGTTAGCTCACACTGACATCACTGTATGCACTGTGTGTGTGTGTGTGTGTGTGTGTCAATCATGACTACTGTGTGAAAGAGTGTGTGTTTCTTATCATCTATCATCAAATATGTCTCTTTTATTGTTTGCAAAACTAGCTAGCTAACCAAGCTAGCTAACATTACTGTATGTTACGTGTCTGTGTGTGTGTGTGTGTGTGTGTGTGTTTGTATGTATTTATTTATATTGCTACTTATTGATCAATAGGTTTGCTTGTCATTCAAAACCTTCTCTTCCTTTAATGTTTTCTCATCCAAGGTGTCATGGCTGCTAGGTATACAGTTGAAATGGAAAATGAAATTCTTCAAGGCTTTTTGGTTAGTGTACAGAACCATTATGGCACAAACAACTCCATAATGTGTTAAACTGAAAATCTGATAATGTGGCTCCCTGTAAAACCCATCTACAAAGGTCTTCATGGTCAGGCCCCTTCATATCTTAAAGAGCTCATAGTACCCTATTACCCCACTAGAACACTACGTTCTCTGAATGCTGGGCTACTTGTGGTTCCTATAGTCTCTAAAAGTAGAACAGGAGCCAGAGCCTTCAGTTACCAAGCTCCTCTCCTGTGGAACCAGCTTCCAGTTGTGGTTCAGGAGACAGACACTCTTTCCACATTTAATAGTAGGCTTAAGACGCTCCTCTTTGACAGCCGCCCACCCAGAGCAGGGGTCTGGTCATTCTGTTCTATTTTAAAGGAAATTCAGGTTTCAAAAGGATGCATGAGAGTTACAGTACAAGGCTGCAGACATTTTCTGTTTATCGGCCTCATGAGCGCAGACATTTACCGATTATGTCGAAATGCCAGATAATCACTACATGCCACTGTCCCTGAGTGCTTGCTCAGTCTAGACCTGCTCTATTTCAAAAGGGTGCTCAGATAACTTTTGTTATGAATTGATTGCATTTTTTAAGTATCTCATTTCACCACTGGGGCCATCAGCATGCAGAATCTCAATGTCACTTACCCACAGTGCTTCATGTTCTGTGGTTTGTCCATGCGAATGGCCAGTTTGATCTTGAGGTCATTGTCTGGACAGCCTTTAGACACCGTCATCTTGTGGAGCTCAGACTGCTTGGGACTGTTGGGAGTCGGATGGAGTACAACCTGCAGCAGTTACAAAATAATATTGAATATAAGCCATAGAATATATGTACTGTACAAAGGTTGTGGCAATGGAAATCACCAAAATGTAACACAACTGTCATTGCATACCTTCCCTAGCTCCTTATCTTCCAGAGCCAACACTCCTGTGCTCTCAGTAAACAGCTTCACCTTCACAGCAGGGAGTGGCTGGGTGGTGGTGAAGTCACCCTGGGTTCCCCAACTATACACACACACACACACACACACACAAAAGAAAGAAAGCATTGTGTTAGAGATGATGTCACAGCATCTGACCAGCTTCTGTTTACACTGGATCCAGTCAGGGTCCAAAATGAACACCCACCCAACTCCAAATGTGAGTACATTTTGGGTTTGGGGTCCCCAGTTATTTGGAATCACAGTGTAGGACCAGGTTTATGTCGCTGTTTTTCAAGTGGCTGGAATTAATGTGACCCTCACAGTCCACAGTACATATTGTGACATCAACTAATCAAATCAGAGCAAATTGCAACTATTTGGCGCATTTAACATAATGTGTACCTATGTTCCGGCAAAAGACATTTTTCATTACATGTTATTAGAGATGTGGCAACACATTCCTTGTGTTAAGCCGGCAAAAAGAAAACATGATGATGATAATAATACTTTACTGTCAGATCAAATTCATTTGGTCATATTTATTTATATATATAACACATACTAATCTGTTGATCTGACTCTGTCAATGGTTGCAGCACACATTTAACTTTTGACCTTACGCCCACTTCCTGTTAGCCACAGTGCATGCATTTGGTGGTTAATGCACAAAATCGGACTCCTTATCGTTATCTCTCTGCGATGCTTATTCATATAATATTAGGTCTATGGTAGTGGTATGGAGTACTGCTGATTCATTAGTTGAGGTGTGTGTAACTGGCAGCATGAGTTTGTGAATTTGAAGCTGAAATGTGCACGCTCTGCTTGTTACATAGAGTTTCTCAAGAGGTTGGCCAACGATCAAACATTTTCATTTGGTGGAGCAGTTTTGACTTTAAAGTAGTGGACAAATATTTGTACAATGTCGTATAACAATACTGCCGAACAGATTGTGGGTCCAGCTGAACTGCAGCTAAACTGCAGCTAAAACAGATGTACTGTGCCCAATGCAGGTGTTTCAGAGCCAGCAGCATTACAACGGTACCCTTAATTGGCACTTCTTTACTAGATATGATTAGTCTGTCTTTATTGTCAGGATATGTATACAGTCCTTTAAAGTAGCTGTAATTAAACCCCTTCTTAAAAAGCCCACTCTTGACCCAGGGGTTTTAGCCAACTATAGACCGATTTCTAACCTCCCCTTCCTCTCTAAGATTCTGGAGAAAGTAGTCGCCAAAGAGTTGTGTGACTTTTTACATAACAATAGCTTATTTGAGGATTTTCAGTCAGGATTTAGAGTTCATCACAGCACAGAGACAGCTCTGGTTAAAGTTAATAATGACCTTTTGATTGCTTCAGACAATGGACTTGTCCCTGTACTTGTATTATTAGATCTTAGTGCTGCATTTAACACCATTGACCATAATATTCTTTTACAGAGACTTGAGCATCAAATTGGCATTAAAGGAACCGCACTAAGCTGGTTTAAGTCATATTTATCAGATCGCTCGCAGTTTGTACATGTTAACGATGAATCTTCAATAAATACTACAGTTACTCATGGAGTTCCACAAGGTTCTGTACTTGGACCAATACTATTTACTTTATATATGCTCCCTTTAGGCAACATTATTAAGAATTACTCCATTAACTTATATCTATCAATCTCTATCACTATATCCTGACAGTAGAACATGAGACAGATAATCTGTGAAACAATCAGGTTCCTCTAGCCCCTCCTAGCGCTCCTAATGGCATTTACAAGAAATCACTGGACCTGTGGATTATATATGCAACAAAAGGTTCAATAAACGTGATGTTTTAACATTGTTTAAGGTTTTTATACCAAGCATAACGTAAAATGATGGTATGTATGGTATAGTGACAGACTATCATGTCACTGGGGCTTTTTATGTACTAGTACCACATGTTTCCTTGTTATTTGCATGGATATGAGGCCTGTGGTTGTGCAGAGTAATGATGTTTCCACTGGAGAAATCCATTTAACATCCCACCCACACCCCAGATGTTACTCACATCCTTTACTGAGCAGAAGACACAGAAAGTCAAGAAAAATGGATGGCCAACAGACAAAAAACAATAAAGTGAAGGTCGAAGGAGAGAACTAGAGACTTTACATTTGTATTTCATGTATTAGCTTACTATCTCTGAAGTCCATTGTGGAAAATCTTTTGCACAAATGTTGTCTGAACATCTCCCATAGGTTTCCGTGTTAAGGTTCAAAATACGTAAGTATTAAGCTGCTAATATGCTAAGCAAGATTAAATCCTAGAGCCATGTAATTGTTTTTAGAAATTCATTTCTTGTTAGACAATTCTTGTCATCTCAGCATTATCAGCCTTTGCATGCGATCATGCGATAATTACAACATAACAAGCTTTGTTATCTGATAACTGGCATAACCCAAACCGTCCTCTGCTGAATATGAGATAAAATCACATGCAGTCTCTTCCTAATGATCATTGCAAAGTGTAATGTTGTAATCATTTGTACATTAGCAGACATAAGCCAGCCTCTGCCAATTATGTTGCCACACACATTCGACATGAGCAGATAACAGTTATTGTAGCCTCCTGAAGCTGTGCTACTGTCACCAAACAAAATATCCCCATAATGTTCCTACCGGGACTGATAATAACAGATTAACCGTTTACAGTAGACACCAGTGGATTACACAAAACCAGGCAATATCCTTTTAATATTCCTATAGGGACTAATAATATGCCTGTGGTAGTAAACAGTTTACAATGTTACTATGTAACCTGGTTTCTGTATACATTTACTCATTTTGCTGTTTTCTGTCAAATCATATTCTTCATCAAGTAATCACTTTTTTAAAATAGGTTAGTCATTCAGCTCTTGCATACACTGATCAGCCATAACATTATGACCACTGACAGGCGAAGTGAATAACACTGATTATCTGATTATCATGGCATCTGTAAGTGGGTGGGATATATCAGGCAGCAAATGAACATTTTGTCCTCAAAGTAAATGTGTTAGAAGCAGGAAAAATGGACAGTGTGAACAGCGTAAAGCAGAGGCAGGGTCATGGGGGGCCAAAGCTCACTGATACACGTGTGGAGTGAAGGCTGACCCGTGTTGTCCGATCCAACAGACGGGCTACTGTGGTTCAAACTGATGAAACAGTTAATGCGATTCTGATAGAAAGGTGTCGGAACCCCCCCCCCATGTGTAATTAGATTATAGTTACAGTCTCAAGAATCACTTTTTGTTTTCACCACATTTTTGTTGTTACTACTAAAGCACAGAACACAGAGGATTTATATTTGTATTAATTTTATGCCCACACACACACAGAGTAATTGTCAGGTTCACTTTACAGTTATCTGACCAGCAGATGGCAGTGTGTAATATTATTGAAGCAGTGTGTAAACTAAATCCATTTCCAACACAGCTTCATTTTACTATATGTGGGGTGACACAACATTATGGAGAAACAGATGGTGTGTGTGTGTGTGTATGTGTGTGTGTGTGTGTGTGTGTGTGTGTGTGTGTGTGTGTGTGTGTGTGTTGTGTGTGTGTGTGTGTGTGTGTGTGTGTGTGTGTGTGTGTGTGTGTGTGTGTGTGAGATCAGTGTGACGAAGGTTTTGTTTTGCAGTGTGTGTGTGTGTGTGTGTGTGTGTGTGTGTGTGTGTGTGTGAGATCAGTGTGACGAAGGTTTTGTTTTGCAGTTTGTGTGTGTGTGTGTGTGTGTGTGTGTGAGATCAGTGTGACGAAGGTTTTGTTTTGCAGTGTGTGTGTGTGTGTGTGTGTGAGTGAGTGAGTGTGGCGGAGGTTTTACTGTGTGTGTGTGTGTGTGTGTGTGTGTGCTGTACATACGTGGGTTTGGAGGCCTCAGCCTGGTCCGTCTGCAGTTTATGTCCTCCCTCAACCTCCATAGTGCAGTAAACAATCCTGTTTGGAGCCAGTGACTTCAAACCCTGGACCTCCATGATCACCACCTGCAACACACAGACATATTTCATACGCAGAAAGAGAGGGGGAGTAGTTTACATAGATAGCCTGATCAGATGTGTGTCACTTGATGATGACATGACTGGCCATCTTGAAATTCGTGAACTAGTTGTGTTGTAAATGTAAAAATAAGAGAGGACTGCAAAGGATTCTGGCTTATTTCTGGCCTAACTCTAACCCTACCTCAGATTTAGAGAGTAAAGAAAACAGATGGTCAGCATTTATGCAATCACAGAAGAGAACAAGGACAGAGATATCAATCTTTAAAATCGAGCCAGAAGAAGGGTTTGCCATCTTCGAAGCTGCATTGCTAATATCACTGATATTATTGTTATTATTATTTACTATTATTATTACTACAGTTACTATTATTACTACAATCACTGCTCTGTCTCTGTCCTTCTGTCATGACCTCTGTTCTCTCTCTCTCAAATTCAAATTCAAATTTAAAAATGGGCTTTATGGCATGAAAGTCAAAGATATAAACATTATGAACATTATATTAGTTATATACAGTGTGTGTGTGTGTGTGTGTGTGTGTGTGTGTGTGTGTGTGTGTGTGTGTGTGTGTGTGTGTGTGTGTGTGTGTGTGTGTGTGTGTGTGTGTGTGTGTGTCTGTGTGTGTCTGTGTGTGCGTGTGCCTTGATCACTAACTGTCCCTCAGGTTGTGGCATGTTAATACATACTGGGCAGCAAGGTGTGCCCGCTCTCCTTCTCCAGGAGTATTTTTAATTTGGAGAGGTCGTTCAGCTCTTTGAAATCTGGAACCAAAGAGCTGAACTTGTTCAAATAAATTTTTCTAGTATCATTTAATTTTGTACATTGTAGGAGAAAGTGCATCTCTGTCTCAACCTCACCTGTCCAACAGTGACCACATTTTCTGTTTTCTTTCGGTTGCCATGATTTTTTGTGTCTTCCTGTTTGATTGCCAGTTTGTGGTCACTGAGCCTGTACTTGGTTAGGATCTGTCTCTGCTTTCTATCTCTGACAGTAGAGAGATATTCTGCTCATTCATAATCTCTTTAAAGGGCAAGATAACATTCCAATCTACTTTGGCTTTCAGTTGTTTCTTCACAATGGTCCAGATAGCTTTCTTTACATTGTGCTATAATTTGCTTTACTCTGATTACTGTTTGTAGAGCAGTGTTGTTGTGAGGCTGGTCAGAGTGTGTCTGAGAGGGGGCAGTTAGCCTCAGTACCAACTGACATAGGGGACACTTTTCTGGGCTCAGCTCTTGGGTTTGGAGGGCTTTGGAGTGGAGGGTGTCTCTGGGGCTGGATTTCAGGTGGTTAAAAAAGTTGAGCGTTCTCTTCTGACTGTTAATTATCAGTGAGTATCTGCCTAATTCTGCTCTACAAGCATTTGTTGGTGTGTTTCTGTGTACGTGTAAAATGTATCTGCAGAATTCTGCATGTAGAGATTCTGTTGGATGTTTGTCCCAACGGGTAAAGCTCTGATGACTGAGTGGACCCCATACTTCACTACCGTACAGCGCAATGGGCTGGATGACACTATCAAATATTTGAAGCCAGATTTTTATTGGAATATGGAAATTATAAAATGTTCTCTTAATTGCATATAGAGCTCTTCAAGCTTTTTCTTTTAGTGCATTCACTGCCATGTTGAAACTCCCTGATGCTGTTATGGTTATAACAAGGTAGGTATAACTCATGCTGTGTTCAATGACATGATTATTGATGGTAAATTGGTGTTTGTTCTCATGACACCTGGGGCGTTTTTGAAAGATCATGACATTGGTTTTCTTCATGTTTACTGCCAGGGCCCAGTTCTGACAGTACTTTTCTACTACATCCAGCTGTAGCTGTAGTCCTTGTTCAGTAGGAGACAGTAGAACAAGGTCATCAGCATAAAACAGAGACTTCACCTCTCTATCTAGGAGGGAGAGGCCCGGAGCAGCGCATTTATCCAACTCAACAGCCAGTTCATTTATATACACATTAAATAAAGTCGGACTTAGATTGCAACCCTGCCGAACGCCTCTTCTCTGGGGGAAGAAATCAGTTAGTTTGTCTCCAATTTTAACAGCACACATGTTTTCCAAATACATCGATTTAACCAGATCAGACATTTTGCCACCTATACCACAGTTTAAAAGTCTGTAATAGAGCCCTTCATGCCAAAGAGAGTCGAAAGCTTTCTTGAAATCAATAAAGCAGGTGAATATTTTTCCATTCTTAGTTTGTTGTACATGTTTGTTGATTAAAGTGTGAAGGGTATATACATGGTCGGTGGTGCGATGTTTTGGGAGGAAGCCAATCTGACTTTTACTTAAGATTGACTGATCCTCAAGGAAATCTAGTATTCTTGTATTAAGAATACTACAGAATAGTTTACCTAGACAGCTGCTGACACAGATACCACGGTAGTTATTGGGGTCTGATTTGTCCCCACTCTTATGAATGGGGGAAATGAGCCCTTTGCACCAGATGTTGGGAAAACATCCTGCCTGTAGTATAACATTGAACAAATGTAACATTGCACCTTGCATTTCTGGGGTGCTGCTTTTGAGCATTTAGTTTGTAATGCTGTCTGGACCACAAGCTTTCCTTTGCTTCAGACATTTTGTCTGTGTGGTTATTTCTTCCCAAGTAATTTCGAAATCAAGGGGGTTTTGGTTGTCTTTAATTGTTTCTTCTAATTTTTGGAGTTTTTCTTTCATAATACCCTGATCTGAATTGATTTGATTGATTGGTATGTCTTTGTACAGATTTTCAAAATGTGATCTCCAGATGTCACCGTTTTGGATGGGTAATGTCTGCTGTTGCTTTGTGTTGAACTTGTTCCACATATCCCATAATTGATTTTGGTTAATGGCATTCTCAATATCTTCAAGTTTCAATTGGGTATAATTTTGTTTTTTGATCCTAATTGTGTATTTATATGTATTTAAAATTTCATTGTATTGAATGCGCAGGGCTGGGTTGTTCGGTTGGCGATGTTTCTCATTTGCTATTTTTCTCAACTCTTTTCTGATTGTTTTGCATTCTTGATCAAACCATTTGTCAGTATTTTGCCTTTTAACAGGTCTCCGTCTTTGCTTTATGAGGTCAGCCCTAATAGCTTCCTTATGAAATATCATATTGATATCCTCAATGGCCTTGTTTACCCCATCTCTGGTAGGGACATATTGATTTTGAGTATATATTGATATGTAATTCATCAGATCAGGGAAGTTTAAAGCCTTGATGAATTTGTCTCCACTGTCTGGGGCCCATCTGTAAGAAGGATTTAATTTATACAGCTTACTGGGTTCCCTTTTTGTGTCACTAATTTGACCTGACAATTTAAAGAACACATCAATTTGGTTGTGGTCTGAAAGGGGGGATTGCTGTCTGACAGTGAATGAACTGATAGTTGAGGGGTCCATGACAGTGACTGCATAGTCTACAACACTAGACCCAAGAGCTGAGGAGTATGTGAACCTCCCTAAAGAGTCCCCTCTGAACCTACCATTAACTATGTACAGGCCTATGGCCCGACAGAGATCTCCCTGCCACTTTGATTTAATATTGAGTCAAGGTTATTCTGATGGGTGATGTTTGGTGTGGTAAACAGGGGGGCCTGACCAAATACATGGTTGTTGCCCTGTGTGTCAGTGATATGAGGTTCAATTCCTGTACGTCCATTCAGATCTCCAGTTAGAAGTACATTTCCCTGGGCCTGGAAATAGGTGATTTCTGAATTTAGGGTGTCAAAAATGTCCTCTTCAAAATAAGGAGAATCCACTGGGGGTATGTAAATTGCACAGAGGTATAGATCCCTATCAGTTATGCCTAGGATTTGATCTAACCTCAACCAAATGTGCGATTTACCCTGTTTTACTGGTGAGATCTGATTGCAAAGATCTCCTTTATACCACACCAAAATCCCCCCCGATGTTCTGCCCTTGCGTATGTTTTTTAGTTTTATGGAGGGCACCATGACTTCATTATATCCTGGGGGACAGTGAGTGAGCAAATCATCTTGACACCATGTTTCTGTCAATACAATGATATCAACGTCTTTGACGGATTTCATGAACTCAGGGTTTCCACTCTTCAGCTCAAAGGTTGAGGAGTGGAGACCCTGAATATTCCAACAGCTTATATGAAATGAACACATCAAAAAAGAAAACAATCAAAATGAACCTGTATAGTGAGACAAATATTTAAAAAACCTTCTACTATCTACATATTTAATAATATAATATAATAATTTGATATTAATTCCATGGAGATGTACTATTTTCAATAATATTACCATTGTACTGACTACTACTATTGCTATTACTATTACTAACTAACAAATATATGTCCATGTTGTTTTGTAACTCAAATGGGAAAGTGCTCTGAGTAAATATATCTTAGCTGGACAGAAGCCGGGTGCACAGGGTGTGCAGCATCTCCCTGATGCCTCTCAGCTCACAGGTAGCAGGGGGAGGGGCTGTGACAGCAGGCCAGGCTACAGCTGCAGCATAGCTCTGTTGCTGTGGGTGGGGAGGGGGACGTGCTGCTCCATGGCTCTGCTGCCAATGCTGTATAAGGGGTGCCACGTTCAACCTTTCACACAGTGATGGCAAAATCCATCGAACAGAAACTAACATTCATACACATTCACACACCGATGCACGGCATCGGGAGCAATTTGGGGTTCAGTATCTTGCTCAAGGATACATCGACATGTGGCACCAGGAGCCGGGGATCGAACCCACAACCTTCCAATTAAGGAACGACCTGCTCTGCCTCTGAGGCACAGCTGCCCTGGTGTGTTTCCTCACAGCAGGGGGGATGATCCGGGGCTGGTGATGTGGGGGAGGAGGTCTGTGATGGTCTCTGAAGCTTCTGGTAGAAGAGAGGGTGGAAGGGCAGCGTCCTAGGGCCGTGTCTTTGACGGTCTTTGCAAAGATATTCACCTTCTCTCTGTGTAGATGGAGTCCATTGTAGAGGTCCCAGGTGCCAATGGTTGGATGGAGGGCCAGGTGGACGTTGGGTAAGGTGGCACAACCTCTTTTGATCTCCATATTGATGTCATGGATGACGTGAGGAGGGGTGTCTGTCCTAGGCAGCAGGGTGGAGATCACGATGCGAGTGTTTGGTGGCCTGCTCTGCCATCAGCAGTGTCCCTTCGGAGGTTGTGCAGGTTATTTGTTCCTGTGTGGATCACCAGGCATTGAGGGCTCCCGAGGGTCTCCTTTCTCAACAGCTTCATTGCCTGGCCTGTGGGGCTGCAACGTTTAGACAGCACTTTCTTAGCAGGAACAAGCTATTTGGTGTCCAGGAATTTCCCATTTGAGTCAGCCAGCAGGACCACTTGTGGGGCTTGTTCTTCAGGCTGAGTGGAGGGCAGCTGGGATGGACAGAGTTCGCTGTTGGGAGCTGGCTGTGTGGGTGTTGGTAGGGTGCAGAGCAGAGATGGTGGGACAGAGACAAGGCAGGGATTTGGAAGACTAGCAGGGAGAGTCTGTGTCTCTGTGTCTGTAGTTGTCTTTGTGGGGACTGTTGAGAGTTGGTCTGTCAGGTGTCGGACTTGCCTGGTGAAGTTCCTTTCTCTGTTCTCAGCATCCTCCTTCACTTTGGCTAACTGAGCCCGGAGCGCACTGTTCTCCTGTTTTAGTGCCTCTACACTTCCTCTTAGCTCAGATGTCGAGGCCTGGTTGTCTCTCTTGAGCTGCTGGAGCTCCTCTTGAAGCTGCTGCACAATGTTGTCTAGGGGGGCAGACAGCCTGGCCTGGGTCAGCTCTTTGAATTCAGCAAAGTCCAGCTCCAGCAGGGCCATACTCTCCTTCAGCTGGTTGGTGGAGCTGGCAGGTGTGGGGGGGGCAGAGATGGACAAGGTGGTGGGGTTCTCTGTTTGGCTCTCATCATCTTCACTGTCACACGGAACATTGCACCTCTTGGTGTCCACCTCAGCTTTGATCAAGGAGAAAACTTCTTCAAAGGATTTCAAGTTTGCTTCGTCCCCCTGGACCATCACCTATCTCTCTCTCTCTCTCTCTCTCTCTCTCTCTCTCTCTCTCTCACCCCAACTGGTCGAGGCAGACGGCCACCAACCTAGAGCCGGGGTCTGTCCGAGGTTTCTGCCACAAGTTTTTCCTTGCCCCTGTCGCCAAGTGCTTGCTCATGGTGGGAACTGTTGGGTCTTTGTAAATAATGTTATAAGGAGTTCGGTCTAGACCTGCTCTATTTGAAAAGAGTCCTGAGATAACCTCTGTTATGAATTGGCGCTATACAAATAAAATTGAATTGAATTGAAATCCCAGTTTTGGCAGTTTTGAAAGTACACCATGCATGTGAATATATAAATTCCACTGTCAACCTGTTTGAGTCTACCTTAAACAAACTGCCTGCAGAGAACAGCTGCAGAGAACAGTGGGAATCTATTTACTGTAAAACTGACCAGGCATTAAGTAAATATTCTTACATTTGTGAATTTCAACCTGCTCACTTTCATATCTTGCAGATTAATTAAAGCTTGAATTAAGGTGTCAATTAATCGATTTTTGATTACTTTTGGGCCAATCTCAAACTAATAAATAGTTTTTTTTTTTTATCGAAAGCTGTGTCATTTAGGGATGCAGCCCCTGAATTGGGGCACAGCCACAGTCTGCGTATTTCGCGCATTCGTATTTCTGTCCCTCCCCCACAGCATACACTGCACATGAGTCATGCGCTCGGTATACTCGCCTTTCCCGACCTGTCGCGCAGGTAACGCGGAGACTTACAAATGTTTATGGGGAAAGGAAAGTGTAACTGAGGACTTCCTTGCAAAGTGTTTTTGACAAATGTCCACTAAATGCAGCATGTTTCTGAAGTTTAAAAAAATAATCGTTTGAATAATCGTGATTTCAATTTTGACCCAAATAATCGTGATTATGATTTTTTCCATAATCGAGCAGCCCTAGCTTGAGTTAGTTTTACACTCTCAATAGTTTTGCCATTAGTAAGCCATCACATATCTGTCCAGTGGGGTGTAGGAAGAGTTGATGATACCTGAATGAAGAAGAAGCATACAGAAACTGAAGCCAGCCTTGAGTAAAGTCTGCTGAGCCCAATGCCAGACCCGATGAGAGAAGCACGAATTGTGGGCAGGTGCTACCAGGCTAAAGATTTTCCCACCTCACCCACATTGTATTTTTTATACTCTAGAAAAGATGAAAACATGCCTCTTTTATTTGAGATGCTAGAAACCATCATCAGGGAGGCAGTAAAATTAGTAATAATGAAGGTGCTGCTGGGCTTGTGGAGGATGAACACCAACAGGAGGTGAACTCAGGTACTGGACAGGTAATTTATCATGTAAATAGTAAGGAGATACTGCACTCTGTCTCCCACTTCCTTTTTCAACGTAGAAATGCACCTGCCTATCAACCAATTAAGGGGAGCTTCAAAAAGTCTGCCAGTCAGAAGTCCTGGGAGACAAAAACACTATGAGGTGGATTCATAAGACAGTAGTTGGGCTGATTTCAAATTCAGGAAAAGAGCTCTTTTTGACAGTTAACTCCAGGCAAAAGGAACATGACCCTTTATGTCTAAACCCTTTATTTTCCCTGCACCAACCTGACAGTCAGTGCCTTGCTTAAGGGTCTTTGTGTCATCTTATTATGCATAGAAATGTGTAATGCAAGTAGAAACAGTAGAAATGATCAGCACATGTTCTGCAGAATACTGTATTAGTGCGTGCAGACATAAAGGTGAGAGAAATGTAATTTTAGCTCATTTTATACCTGACATGAAGAGGGGAAATTGAACCAATATGATATCACCATGAAACGTCCCCAGTTGATTACTTGTATTGAGATTTTTTTGTATTGCAAGTTTTCTGAAATGTTATGTTTGAATATGCAAATTAGGTATTTTCTAATGCTAATGTTTGGTGAAATCTACAGACACAAACAGACAATGTGTAGTTAAATAAACACCTAAATGTATGTTTTGGCCGTTTTCTTTCCACTACTCTAAAAGAAGACTGTTATGGAAGCGAAATAGCCCAAAATCTCTAAATTGACCAGAGCATGAAAAAATAAATTTTTGTTGGACACCAGGGATACATACAGAAAAAACTATATGTTTTAGTGAGAAAAACTAAATGTAAACAGAACTGATTATAAGAAAACTCCATAGAGTACCTTTAACGTGTGTTTACTTCTTGAAGTGCTACACAGTCATTACTCCCAGAGGATATTCACGATTATTCAAGTTCTACCTTCTGAACTTTCCTTCAGGAACATTGTGAAGCAGTCAAACCTAAAGGGAGTTGTGTTCTTGTGTACATACGCTAATGTATCGGTAACATGGTACCTCTTCATTTTTAGTATAACCTTTATTTAATCAGATAATCTCACTGAGTTCAAGATCTGTACTGCAGGACCTGAGTCTCAAGAAAGATAACACAACTAACATAATACAATACCCAATGGTATTGTATGTTGTAAAAGAAGTAATCTACTCCTGGATCCTATATTTCCAATGATGCAACCAATTGGATATTTTATTACACACACTAAATTTTCTTTCTAAGCCAGAACATTTGTAATGTGGCTTGTCTGTTCTCTAAACCATGCTGAGATGACCCTAATGACATCTCTATGACCTCATACAGGTCATTTTCTCAGACCTGACCATAATTAAAAGAGGACGTAGTCTCTGTAACGTCACCCATAGATTTCTGGATGTAAAGCTCAGTGTGGTCGGCTTTGGCCGTCGCCATTTTGGCAGTCCTGACTCCCCTGGCTCCCCACTAATCCAAGAATGACAAATATGTGGAGCGTGGGTGGATCTGAGGCGGGCTGAATGAAGCCTGGTTACTGAAAACAGCTACCTGTCACAGCACCCAACTGTCACTCAAAGTAGCCATGCCCTCTAATTTATACATAGCGTTAAGCCATAATATCATTTAAACACAAGATTTCTATAAAATTTCTAAAAAATAAAAGAGATTAAAAAGGTTTTTTGTACCAGGCTGTAAACATGTTTATTTCTGCTGTAAGGTTGGGCATTTTAATATAGGGCTTTATGGAGATTGACTAACTGCTGGAGCCAGCCTCAAGTGGACATTCGCCAGCCATGGAGGTTGCTGTTTGCCACAGAAGGCTTTATAAAAGTGTTTTCACAGGCCTCCCCCCCCGTGCATCAATGAGCCTTGGACCCTGTCTCCGGTTGACTGCTTTTCCTTCCTTGGACCACTTTTGATAGGTACTGACCACTGCAGACCGGGAACACCCCACAAGAGCTGCAGTTTTGGAGATGCTCTGACCCAGTTGCGTGGCCCAGAATTTTATGACTAATCAGTGTACTTAAAGCACATAAAGTCCTGCACAAAACAGGAACATGGCGACTTTCGTTGCCTGGCAGTATCACCCTAACATCTTTTTGGTATTTGTTGTATGTAGAGTAGGCTTTAAAAACAGCATACTTCATTATTAGTGAGTTCACCAACCTCCAGGGTGAAGGACAGCACCACATCAGATTTGGACAGCGTGTTTTCGTCCTCCTGGCCCATGTCCATGATGGAGGTGTTGTGGCCTCGTTTCAGCTTCTGCAGCTTGAACTCTCCTCCCTTGGACACCGGCATGCTCTCCAGGTTGGCCATCAACAGGTTGACAGAGGATCGCAGCTCCTCAATGTACATGGCCTCCATCTCTCTGGATGCAAACCTGGGAAACCTTCCACCATGCTGACCAGAACAGGGAGGCAACCAGTTACTTAATGAGCATGGTCCACTGAATGTCCAAAACAACCTTATAAGAGAAAATAGCTCCACATAATTAAATTATGTGGCAACATAAAAAATCAAGTCAATTCAAATATTAAAATAAATCAGTTTAAAAATGTGAATACTGCCGATCTAAGACTTCATGTGAATCAATATTCAGGTTAAGTCCTATCAATATCTCAGGACACTTTTCAAATAGAGTAGGTCTAGACCGAACTCTTTCAATAATCAGTATACTTTCTTATGATCAAAGTTAGGTTTGTCCACCTATACATTTGTCCATCCATTCATCCCTCCCAATCTATCATTCATCCCCCCATCCATCCATTTTTCCATCCATCCATCCATCCATCAATTCATCCATTAATTCATTCATCCATCCATTTTTACATCCATCCATCTATCAATCCATCCATCAATCCATTCATCCATCCATCCACCCATCCACCCATCCATTCCTCCATTAATCCATCACTCCATCATCCATTAATCCATGAATCCATCCATCATCAACCCATCCATCCATTAATCCATGAAACCATCCGTCCATTAATCTATCCATCAGTCCATTAATCCATCCATCCATCCATCCATCTATCTACTAATCCATTAATATATCTATCCATCAATCCATCAATCCATCCATCCATTCATCTATCCATTCATCCATTCATCCATTCATCCACTAATCCATCAATTCATCAATTCATCAATCCATTAATTAATCCATCTATCCATCCATGTCCCTTACCCGAGCGATCTGGTCTGCCATTTGCAGTCGCCCGTCCAGCTCTCTTCTGATCTGGGCTGCCTGCTCATCAGGGTTGTCCAGCTGGGGAAACACAGACAGACACTTCACACACGGAACAACAACTATGTATGTTCTTGAGTAATTAGTATAATAACAATAATGGCAAATTAAAATAACAAAAGAGGAGAAAATTTTAACTTTACAAATGTAAATGTCTTTACACAGTACTACTGTCACATCTCTAAAAACTGAACCAAGACCAAACTGTAAACACTGCCAAAAATGTCCTATTTGAAATGGATTCAGTGACAAATAGACAACCACATGCCGTGCAGCTGCTAGACTGGCACCTTTTTGTTCCAATTTTTGTTCCAGCGCTGTCTTTATTGACATATAATAGAAGCTTAAAAGCACAACCTCAAAAATTAATAGTATTTTTTCAGGTAAAATGTTGTTGTGTGTTTTAAGTGAAAAATTGTAATTAAAATATTAATGAAACAGAGATAAAACACATCCCTGGTAAGTCTCCCCTAAGTACCCATTAACCACTTGCTCAGACTTGCACAAGGTGAGTTAGAGAGATCGACACTTAAAGAATTACAACAACAAAGATTTTATTTTATATCACACCATTGTGCAACCAAATGTTATCAGAATATCATTAACTGCAGAATAGTTTGACCTGTCCTTCCACAGCTTGACAGTCACTCACTGCTGAGAGGACCTCAAAGGATGTCACGGAAGCACTAATTCGGATTTTTGCCCATAGATGAAAGCAGCCATACGTCACTTTCTTGTCTCCAGAACAACCATGCGTTGAGTGAAACAAGCACTGTAAAAGTGCCTAGTTGCGCCATTCCTAAAAGCACATTTTGCACATCAAAAAATACAATTTCCTTTATTTTCCGAATCAACAGAGGACAGTAAAAGAGATCCGTGGCTTTAGGCCAAGAGAATAAAACTTGAACTGTAAGACCTGTGTTTGTCTGTCAATGGCAAACACAGGTTAGTTGTTACTCAGTAAATGACGTATGTTGATTGGGTCTGTAGATTGAAGAGAATCCAAAAAGAGTCTGCATGATGGTGTAAATAAAGTTTTTACTGTGAAAAAATATGGCCCTACCATAAAACACCCACTTTTAAAAGGGAGTTTGGTTTGACAGTGTGGAGCAGAGGGTGTTTTAACCTTAATAATCCACATAAACTGAGTTGACCTTCCTTCTAATAGTGAATCTTGTAAACAGCATAAAGTAACGTAGGAAGTGGAGATACAATCTACATGATTTTTTCGTCTGTGAGCTCGTAGTAAATTAATAACAGAAACAGTGGTTCCACTTCACCAAAATGATGGAATTAGTTACAATAACGTCACATTGGACAGACGCCCAAAACAGAAAAATAAAGTGTCTTAATGATCAATAAGGTATCAATCTGTTAACCATGTGGAATTCATCAGCCAAACTCCCCCAGGGCTGCAGGGCTTCTCTGCCATCTGCAGACAAGCACAAAGGTGTGTTCCTCCCATAACTGAAGTCACACACAAACAAATGTGTGCTCACTTCACACAAGAGAGCATACCTGCAGGTGTACAGGTATTTAAATCGTTCTTATTCAGGGGCTCCAGCTTCTCAAATGTGAAGATTTAAGACCTTTCTTTGTCATATAAGATAGTTAACTGAATATATTTGTGTTTTGGACTGTTACATCTTGAGCTGTGGGAAATAATAACAGGCATTTTCCCTATTTTCACATTTTAAGGACAAAATAATAAATTCTATTGATTGAAAAAACAATCAATAGATAGATCAATAATAAAAATAATGGTTAGTTGCAGTCCTAGTTAAAAAACAAAACAAAGAGCTGAAAGAGGCTAAAAAGCTGATGGTAACTGAAGAGTTGGCTGGTGTTACACTGGAAGTTGCGAACTTGGCCCACGTCGGCACTGTGTTCCACGCATGCAAGCAGCTCTAAAACAAAGCAAAAATGAGTGCGGTCTGGCTATGCCTCAGTGCTGTGTGTAGCTCAGCCCCACCCTTGGTCGAACAGGGACTGAGCTACACACAGCACCAAGGCATAGTGGACAGGGCGGCTTCGAATGCATTCACTCAAAGTCTGGCAATGCGTTCCTTTTCCTCTCTCTTTCCTCTTTGGGCTGCGCTCAGACGTCCCATATGGACCCTCGCGGACACGCTAAAGTATGAATTGCCCTTTAATCAGAATCAGAATCAGAATCAGAAATACTCTAATAATCCCAGGGGGAAATTATTTTTGTTACAAACTCCAGACATACAAACAACATATATTAAGAACAAAATATAAATATATATAACTATATATATATATATATAAAAGATCAAATGTACAGTTTAATAATAAGATAATATATATATATATATATATATATATATATATATTTTTTATTTTTTTTTAAGTGATAATTCTCTGTGAGTTTTTGTATTAGTATTTAGATCCATTATTAATATATATTTTTAAATTAGTGCAGGTTAAAGGCTGGAGAAAGATTGTGGCCAGTTAAAAGGAACCAATGTCAACATCACAATACTTTCACAGTCATTATAAAACATAGGAAAACATAAATATACCGTAGGTAATTTCAGATGTTAGAACAAACAGCAAATGCTGTTTTCTGGTGGGCACAAAAAACAGAATCGGCAATAGGGGTTTAATAAACTGCTCTGTGTAAGGATTGTCTTTACATACGTATTTTCTGTTTTACGTAGAATGCTGCTGCAGCTCTTGGAAAAAAGCCAATCAAAGTACACATGAAAAAACACTGTCTTTATACTAGATTAGACTAGAATTGAGTTCCCTCTGACCACTGTCAGTTTTATAGGTTTCTGCCTTCCTCCTGCTTGTATGTAAGCTGTTGTTCAGAAGAATGCCTCATGTCTTCCCAGGGGGGCAGATGGCAGAGGAAGCGTGGGCAGACAGGGCCGTTTGGAGCAGGGAGATGAAACAGCCTGCTGCAGGGGGAAGCCAGGAACTCTTTTAACTGTTGGACGACCCACCATGAACAATATGTCAAAAGACAAACTGATTGCCTTGTTTAATTTGACATTCGTGCTGCTTCTTTCTGAACCAGCCTGTGGTCATAATGCTGTTATTTTTCAAATTCTGATGTCAGTAGTTAATCTATGAGTTGCAGACAGCGCAGAGAGAAACGATGCCTGTTGGACTGAGCCAACACTGTAAAGAATGTTTGTAGATTTTATGGTAAAAAACTGCTAAAAGAAAATTAGAAGACCATAATAGATTAAATACAGTTCATGTCACAGTGAACCACCACCATATTTTCAAAACCTTAATTTATACGAAATTTTAAAGGAATTTATACGAAATAAAGTTGTTTTTTAATACTACAGAATTACTGTTTATTACGGTAAAATTATGGCAACCACAGATGCCAGATTTTTACAGTGAATACTTTCAATATTTTGGGGGATATTTCCCCCCCCCCCCAATTAGAAAAATTTTTTTTTTTAATCTGATTGGCTCAGTCATTTTATGAAGAGTTTCCATCTGTCCTAAGATTTTATGGTGAAATAATTAAAAACGGCAAAAGAAAGATGACACGATGAAAAGAAATGGGTTGTGCAGAAAATTACAGCTAAAGCTTAAAATGTTAGCGCAAGACCCAGCTAAATCCAAATTACAGATATGGTGGAAGGGCCATGGCTGACTTTCGTCTCCATTTGTTTCGGGGTTTTGAAATTGCTGTATTGGCTCAGTCATTTTGTTTGATGAAAAGTGTTATTTTTCCTATCTGTTACACACACCTTTTATTAGTTTTTTTATGAGACTGAATTGCTTTTATAATATAGTGAAAAGATTGAGTGTTGAGTGTGCTGGTGAGCATTTGTATCTATTTTACCTCTACGACAGCTAACTTTTATTTGCAAGTAATGGACTAGTGGTCCAGCTTTGGCTCCCTCCTACCTTGTTTAGATACGGTTTATGGTGACACGCTTATCCAAACTGAGGGGTGTGAAGACCAAAGTTGAGGAACATCATCAGTTACACTATAATAACACAAAACTCTATGAGTCGTCAACACGATGTAATTTGGGGAGCACGGGGACAGTCCCCTGCACTTTTTCAAAACAATGTTACGCTATAGTAAACAGAGACTCTCAAAGCGGAAAACGGCCACTCAAGCTGAAGCCTGTTACGCTTAGTTTAGACCCGCCCACAAGCTCCTTGATTGGCTCTGCCGTTTCTTGTGTGATTGGCCGTCCCCGCTGTCACTCCATCTTGCTTGCACACCGGTCTGCTGGAGTTGCCCAGGTAACATCAGAGGTTTCATTTACATTAACGTTTGAATCGGTGTCCATGTGCGTATGTGCGTGCGTGCGTGCGTGCGTGCGTGTGTGTGTATGTGTGTTTGGTAATTAGGCGCAGCCAGGATGTCTAAAAAAAGAAAAGTGGACATAAGAGACTTCTTTAGAAGTCAAAGTGTAAGTTACTCAAAGAAATGCGTTACACCCATCCTGCAACACCTTCACTGGCTCCCAATAAAGCAGCATATCCGCTATGTAAATGACGTCTGTTTACCATATATTCCAGAAATAAGTGTACAATTGGTGGTACTGAGTTGGAGTGAAGTTGACTAACAAGGTGAAACACAGAATTGGGTGATAATGTTTTGCTATATGCTTTACAACCAGTCAAACCAAAAAAGGGAACAGTAAACTTAAAAGTAGCAATAGAAAACTAGAAGAACTACTAGAAACACAGTGAACTGAAATACTTTTGTCCCCCCCACCTCTGAAATCAAAATTTGGTCTTTGAGTGTCAAACTGCTGCCACAAAAAGAAACATACAAGGGTATTCCCATCTCAAAGTCCCAGGCTGAATTTCGGTCCCAGTACATCCCTTGTCATAGAACATAAACTAGAAAAACTCATCGACAAAATGAATAATTGTGGCTAAATTCTTGTTCTCTGAAAGCAAAGCAATGCACAGTGGTAATAATTACTACTACTACTTACTACAAATTCAATCATTTTAAATTAATATTGTGTCAAATGACATGTGAAAGGTGTCACTCATAGTGATGACAG